GTTCAAGAACCCTTAGAATCATTTCTGAGGGACACGTGCCACCACTGGTATTTGTCGCACTCTTTGGGAAACACTGTTCTAGAGCTTTATCCTATATACTGCAGAAGAAGCCATACTTGGCATATTTCATCCCCAAGGCTACTTGCAGTCTTGATTTTTTAGACCACATTTATTCTCTCTGTCTCAGGTTCCATAGACATCCTTGATTTGCTGGTGATCTGGCATCTATGCTGGGTACTTTTCTTCCCTTAGACTTTCTCCCATGGTTATCTGTGGGCCCAAGACACGCTGAAGTGAAGTGAAGGCTCCCTCTACCTTATGCTGTCTTCCCATGACCAAGATCCAAAAGATTAAGGACGGGGAGGTAGGTCTCTGCATTAGCCTGTGGCCATGGCATCTTTGATATGTCTTCCCAATATTGAATTACCCACAAGACCAGGTTCTGCCAGTCAGAATGGGCACAAGACAGTATTTTGACAGCAACAAATGGTCTTCGAGGATAACCTGGTTCATGTGCAGTTGGGCAAATTAAGGATACTTAGTGCAGCTAGAATGTAGGTCCTTTCCAGCCCAACTATAAACTCTGCGTAACTACCGAGAAGCTTATGTTCCACCCTCAAGTCCAGGTAGGAACCAGTCTGTTTCAAAAATCAATGTTATTGAGGTACAGTTGGGATATAATGAAATGCACACAATTTGATTGTATGGTTTGATGAGTTTTGACACACACATACCCCATGTAACCACTATCACATTTCCATCGCCTCAAAATGTTCTCAGTCAATCCTCATTTTGACTAGGGCTAGACGACTGATCTCTTTTCTGTCAGTGTAGACTAGATTTGTTTTTTCCCAGAGTTTCGCAAAAAAAGGAGTCCTTATGGAAGATATTGTTTTGCATTTGGCTTCTTTCACTCAGAATGTTTTTGAGATGTATTCATGTTGTTGGATGTATTAGTAGCTTGTTCCTTTTTTACTGCGGGGTGATATCCCATTCTATGGATCTCCTATGGCTGTTTTACCTGTTCGCCTACTGATGAGTATTCAGGTGTTTTCCATGTGGAGATTGTTGATAAAGGTGCTGTGAACATCAATGTACAAGTTTTTGGATATGTTTTTTTTTTCTTGTGAGAAAATATCTAAGAGCAGAATTATAGGATCATATGATGAGTATCTATTCATTTTACAAATATTATCTCCCAAATAGTTTTGAAATTGTACAGTTTTACATCCCCAGCAGAGATGTATGATGATAGTTCCATTTGGTCCATACTTTTACAATCATGTGTTACAATCAGTTTCTTTTTAATTTTAGCTATTCAAGTGATTGTGTAGTAGTATTTCATTGAGGTTTTAATTTGCATTTCCCTGACAGGTAATGGTGTTCAATTATTTTTATGTGCATATTGGACAGTTGCATATCTGCCTTTATAAATGTCGAATCTTTCGCACATTAAAAACATTGGGTTACCTTCCTATGGTTGAAAGTAAAGCTTCATTATATATATGGAAACCAGTCCTTTATCAGATGTGTGTATTCTGACTATTTTCTCCCATTCTGTGGATTGCCATTTTGTTTTCTTGAATGTGTCTTTTGCAGAGTAGATTACAAACTGATGGATTATATATTTTTATTTTTATGTTCCATATGTTTCACGTCCTAATTGAAGAAGTCGTTATGCAAAGTTCATAAATATTTTCTTTTACGTTTCTTCCAGAAACATAATTTCTTCCAGAAATTTTAACACTTCAGAATCATTTAGGCCTGCATCAGTTTAAACTTAATTTTTCTTACTCTGTGAGGTTTAGGTGAAATTTATTTTTTTATATAGAGATGAAGTTTTTCCAGCATCATTTGTTGAAAAATCTATCCTTTCAATTACTTTGGCACTTTGAACATAAAATGACCATATATATGTGGGTGTATTTCGGGCCTCTTTATTCTGTTCGAGGGTTATGGATGTCTCTCTTTATATCGCTATTAAACTTCCTTTATTAGTGTAGCTTTGTAGTAAGTATTAAAATCAAGTCGTGTGACCGCTCCAAATTTGTTCTTTTTTAAAATTGATTTGGATCTTCTGAATCCTTTGAATTTGCATTTCCATTTTAGAATTGATTTGACAATTCTTACAAAAGCACATGCTGAGATTTTTATTAGATTGAGTTGAAGATATAGATTATGTGAAGAAAACAGTCATGTTAACAATATTAAATCCTTTGATCCATGAACATAACATGTTTCCTCATTTATTGAGTTTTTCTTCAGTTACTCTTAGCAGTGTCTTGTGCTTGTCAAGAAACAGGTCTCATGTGTATTTTCTTGAATTTATCGCTAAGTAGCACATGTTTTTGGATGCTATTTTTAATATCTCGATGTTAATTGTTAGTATATGAAAATGAAATTAATTTTGTATATTGACCTTATTTCCGACAAGCTTGCCAAAGCACATTATTTTAGTGCTAGTAGCTCTTTAAAAAATTATTTGGCATTTTCTACATACGCAATCATCTTATCTGTGAATACAGACAATTTTGCATCTTCTATTCTGATCTGTTTGCATTTTATTTCTTTTTCTTGCTTTTTTGCACTGGCTAGGACCGCTAATACGTTGACGAATAGGAGTGGTAAGAGTGAAGATCCTTGCCTTTTTGGTCGTAGGAGTGAATGTTCTTTTACCATTAGGTATGAGTAATGAGTATTGAGTATTACTCATTACCACTCTCTCTTTTACCATTAAGTATGATTTTAACTGTAGGTTTTTGAGATTCCTGTTATGAACTGATGAAATTTGCTTTAATTCCTAGTTTGGCGGAGGTCTTTTTAATCCTAAATGAATATTAATTTTTTTCAAGTATTTTCTTGAATTTCTTGAGATTATAGCAAGATTTTTCTTCTTTAGTCTATTGATGTGATGGATTACATTCATTGATTTCCAAATATTACTTATAACAGGGAAGATACGTGTTGTCTCGCCAGTAATTAATATGTCTACAAAAAATGCTCTGTGACATTTACTCAATTCAAATTTCTTAAACTAAGAACTTTTTGCTTTTAGCGACATTGTATGGTAAATTGACATTAAATTGAATAGGATTGTATACGCAGGCATCTTGGGTCGGGTCGTTCCGTCTGTGAGGCAGCACCAAACGGTTATTAGCTGTATTTGGAGCAGCAGCTGTTTGGAAAGGGACTTCCAGGCTGAGCACTGAACACAGGCCGTGCCAACAATGCCAGTGTTCTCGTGTCATCAGTGAGCGTGATTGATATCCCCTGCTCTGGCTAGTAGGGATTTGTCCATTTCAAATCTGGTTACATATACATGAAATGTATAAAAGCACTCTGAAAAATAAGCAGTGTGACATTTCTACGGTGTTAGTGCTCTACATCACATTAACGGGCAAAATGGGGAAGAAAACGTACAGAGGTGACCAGAAGAGATACAGGAAAATCTGGACTTCCCTTTTTGGTTCCTCTGAAAGTGAAGCGGATCCTTGGCTCTTTGGTTCTTTCACCCAGCACTCCAGACTATGGGGCCGTTTCTGGGTAGTGACTTGATGTAGGTGTAGTAACCAAGGTTTGTGATATTTCAGTTGATGCTCTTCTGTGCTTAAGTCCTGTAACAATTGGCCTCTTGCTTTGTTTCTTTGTGATAAAATTCCTGCCTTGAACACAGACCTGGACTTTTTCTCTCTCCCTTCCTCCCTCTGCTTGTGCGATTGTAACTCAGCAATTGGAGAATTA